CAGGAAACGTTTGACCTCTGTCATTGCCAACAAAGGATATATAACAAAGTATTGAGATGAACTTTTCATATTCACCAAATACTTATTTTCCACCATAATTTGCAAATAAATTCTTTCCAAATCAGCCAATGTGATTGTCTGGATTTTGTTTCTCATTTTGTCTCTCGTAGTTGAGGTCTACCTATGATGCCAATTACAAGCCTCTCTCATCTTTATAAGTGGGAGAACTTGCACAATTGGTGGCTGACTAAATACATTTTTGCCCCACTGTACATCCCAAAAAAATATATGGGAGAAAAAGACTGAGGCTTTCAATGCACTACTAGGGAATAGCCATAAAGTACATACAATGTCATAAAATTGTATACAACTGAGCCTGATACAACATGAATCACACATAATAAAACATCTTAAAAACTACACCACAGTACTCATATTAAACACGGTGCCTATTATTCTAAACACCATCTTACAAAAGTACATTATTTATTATATAATTGCAACACTTTTGGAGAAAGATGAGCAATCGATGTGTTTCTTTAAATGTTTCCAACTTCAAGAGTTAATAGTGGGTAAAAAATTTAAAGTAGATGATACAAAAACACTATAAATAATTACATATATCCAAAAAAATACTGAATTTTTTTTTCTTTGTATTGTATACTTTGTTTAGCCACCATTAATACCTGAAGAATTTGGAAATATTCAACATAACACTCATCTTTCTCCAATAATGTTACTATACTATAAATAATGTACTTTTGGAAGACAGTGTTATAGCTTTTTAGAATAATAGACACAATCTGGAGAATATGGGCATGCTGGTATAGTTTATAGGATGTTTTATTATCGGGTAGACTTGCTGTATCCGGCTCGATTGTGTACAATTTTATGACTCTTCAATAAAAACTATCAATTTTTATTACGACGTACGTGCTGTGATATGTTGGGAATCCGGATCAGCCATATTGATAAAAGAAAAACAGTCTTTATTTCCTTCCAAAAGGCAAACAAAACCAATGTTCTTCAGCGTAAACAGTTCCAAAGCTTCTGGTATACAAAAACCTTTGACTCACCACCAGTAGAAGCTTGTCCCCCAAAAGGGTTTAGGGTCCCTATCTGCTCCAGGGGTACAGAAAGGTTGCAAGTGCTCAGCAGTATCTCAACTGATCAACAGCCCCAAGTCCTCTCAGAACTGTGTACTGTTCCGCACTTCATCTTATGGACACCTGCTGTGCCCTTTTCAGCCCTCTCTTGCAGGCAGGTTAATCCTTTCAGGTCTCAAGTACCTGTAGTCAGGGTTGGAAGCTTTTTCTCACCCAAGATCTCCCTGAGCCTCCAAATTCCAGGTCCCATCTTAGGCCTTAACAATCTAGGGAAATCTGCAAGTCAGTTCTCCCCCACTGTGATGCATCACCCTTGAAACCCTTACCCTGCATGAGTGAGAATCCCTGAGTACTCCAGCTCTACCTTGTCATCCCCTTAAAGGAACCATAATTTAAACAGTGGTCAGATATATCTGCCTTCCAGGACCCATCCCGAGCATCCTGTACAATACTTTGACTTTTCTTTAGTACTTTAAAAGGCCCTTAATCTTTCTTTTCTATATATTGCTTATACTTGGGATGATGCTGGTACTGTTGAACATATTGAACAATCCTAGGTCCATAAACACTCTTTATATTTACTCCTACAGGCACAATCATCTACCTGTATGTTGTGGCTTTCTTAATCCAGTGGTGATCCAATACCACCAAAATAAAGCTCTATTTGTGTGGAAAAAAATTATTTAAATTTCAATTGTGTACAAACGTTGCATGACCACACAATTGTCAGTTAAAGTAGCATCAGCTTTATGTGACTCCATTACTGTGCCCTGGGCAACAAAAAGAATCTGTATTTATATTAACTGCATATAATTCCCTGTACCTCTGGATTGTGGGATGGAGGATTAGCACTCTCAGAGAGTGAAGGTTCTATTGAATTGAATTCTGCTGTCCATGTGATCATGCTTACAATTAGGGGGGGCATAGTCATGGCTTCCTCAATGTTCTGTGGCCACTTCACTGTATAGTGGCCAATTCAGTGTCCAGGCATACCCCTGGGGGAGAACAGGTATACAAGGAAGCAGAAAGTAGGTATCTATCCATATAGTCAGAGGACACTTTCAGCTACAGGAGTGATGGAGAAATGTAATATTTCCTTATTATTATGGCTGTCTTATATATAGGAACAGGGGCGGACTGACCATTCGAGCACTCAGGCACTGCCCAAGGGCCCGGGGTCAAAAGGGGGCCCCATAAAATGCCCCTGATATATTTTATAGGCTTTTTTGGGTGTGTTTTGAGTGTGTGCTAGGACACAGGGGCCCCATGATCCCCAATTTTCCAGGGGCCCCATGAGTTGTCAGTCCGCCCCTGTATAGGAATACATAAGAATGAATCCTAAGCCTTGTTACCATAGCTGACTTCATACTCTAGGAATGTCTTTATGAACTGACCAAATTTCTATGACCCTTCAGGAGTGTGTGCTACCTCCATTAAAGGTAATAACATTTTCTAAGAGTTATAATTGGTCAATACTACTAATTAGTTCTGTATATACTATTGTGCTCAAAAGTTTGCATACCCCTGGAGAATTGGTAATATACAGTATGTACAATTTTTAAAGAACACATGAGTGAGCCGAATAAACATATTTCTTTTATTTCTTTTTGGATTCATATTCAACTGTAGGTCATAACAGAATGGCACAATCATAAAAGAAAACATGGCAACAAGTAAACATATGAAATGCCCCCTGTTCAAAAGTCTTCACACCCTTAGTTCTTAATACTGTGTATTGCCCCCTTTACCATCAATGACAGTGTGCAGTCTTTTGTAATAGCTGTCTATGAGGCCCCCCAAATTCTTGCAGGTGGGATAGTTGACCATTCGTCTTGGCAAAATGACTCCAGGTCATACATAGTTTTTGGTCGTCTTGCATGAACCGCACGATTGAGATCTTTTCAGAGTGGCTCGATGATATTAAGGTCAAGAGACTGTGATGGCCACTCCAAAACCTTCACCTTTTTCTGCTGCAACCACTGGAGGTTCAACTTGGCCTTGTGCTTAGGGTCATTGTTGTACTGGAAAGTCCAAGAGTGTCCCATGCGCAGCTTTTGTGCAGAAGAATGCAAGTTGTCTGCTAGTATTTTCTGATAACATGCTGTATTCATCTTGCCATCACGTTTTTTACAGGATTCCCTTTGACTTTAGAGCTCACACACCTACAAAACATCAGTGAGCCACCACCATGCTTCACAGTGAGGATGGTGTTCTTGTTGTTATATGCCTTGCTGATCCCTTTTCAAACATAGCGCATATGGTTGTGATCATAAAGCTCTATTTTGGTCTCGTCACTCCAGATTACAGGGTGCCAGAAGCTGTGAGGCGTGTCAAGGTGTTGTCGGGCATTGTCAGGGCAGGGGCCAAGGAACGGACAGGCAGGCCTAACAATGTAACGCACTGGCTGATGACAACCACCACCCACAGACCGAAGTCCCCCAGGGCGCGGAGTCTAAGTCCCAGGCTGCCCTTCACCAGGGCCCCTGATGGTAGGGATGGACTTGACGCAGCCAGGAACCAGGTCGCGGCCCCGAGACACCTCAGCTGCGGTAATGGCCGCCGCCAATGGCGTGTAGCTGGTGGAAAAGACAAAAGAGTAGTCAGGCAGGCCGGGTCAACAACAACGGGACAAAACGGTTCAGGACAGCAGACGAGAATCACAGGTCACGAGCCGGGTTCAGCAACAGAGGGTCAGATCAAAGGAGAATGCAAAGAATTGTCGAGTCACAAGCCGAGTCAGATTCCAGGAGCGTCACGAGAGTCAGAACAGAGTAATAGCAACACAAAGACACAAGTGCAAAGAGCATGTGCGGACCACAGGCTTATATGTCATCAGCCACACCCCTCTGGGGGATGGACCTCAGAGACCTGAAGGCATAAAAGGATTCCCACCATGCTCAGCAGAAATCCAAGATGGACGCCAGCACATGGAGTAACATAACCTCAGGGAAAAGGTAGGACCTTGACAGGCATATTGTAACCAGGCTTTTTTCGTGGCATTGACACAATAAAGGTTTTTTTTCTGGCAACTTGACCATGCAGCTCATTTTTGTTCATGTATTGTATTATGCTCCTTGGAACAACCACACCGCCTTTTTCCAGAACAACCTATGAGGGTCTCCTGAGGTTACCTGGCAGTTTTGGCTGCAGTCTTTCTTGGTCTACCCTGACCTTTGCTTGGTATCAAGAGATCCACAAATTTCCCACTTCTTAATAAGTGATTGAACAGTACTGGCTGGCATATTCGAGGCTTTGGATATATTTTTATATCCTTTTCCATATTTATAAAGTTCCATTACCTTGTTAGGTAGGTCTTTTGGCAGTTCTTTTCTTCTCCTCACAGCTCAGTATCAAGCCTCCTCAGTGAATCCATATGAGAGCTTACAAACTCATTGACTATTTATACACAGACACTAATTACAAATTAACCACTTGCCCTCCAGAGGATTTACCCCCCTTCCTGACCAGGCCATTTTTTGCGTTACTTTAACTGAGAATTGCGCGGGTCATGCAACGCTGCACCCAAATGAGATTTACATCCTTTTTTTTACCATGAATTGAGCTTTCTTTCGGTGGTATTTGATCGCCTGTGCATTTAAAAATTTTTGCACTATAAAACAAAAGGCAAACAATTTTGAGAACAAAACAAAATATTTTACTTTTTGCTATTAAGCATGTCCACTAAAAAAAATCAAAAATCAAATTTCGTCATAAATTTAGGCCACAATGTATTCTGCTCCATGTCTTTCCTATAAAAAAAATCCCAATATGTGTAAATGAATTGGTTTACGTGAAACTTATAGCGGGTGCAAATGGTGGTCTAAATACTGGAATTTTTTATTTATTTAAATTTTTTACTACTAATGGCGGTGATCAGCAAATTAAAGCGGGACTGCAGGATTGCGGCAGCATTCTGAGACTGGGGGGAAACTGACTTGGTGTCACTGACATCCCCAGTGACACCAATACAGTGATAAGTACTAATAAAAAGCACTGACATTGTACTAATGGCACTGAGCAGAAAGGGGTTAACATCTGGGGCAATCAAAGGGTTAACTGTGTGCTGTGTGTGCTTTTCCCTGTAAGCACACTGCTTTGTATGGCTGCGCTATGCAGAGCCATACAAAACAGTGTGCAGGAGCTGACAGGGGATAGAACTGTATTGTTTACATACAGTTCTCTCCCCCGTCGTAAATACTCTGCGATCACCGGGTACCGGCGGGTAATCACTGGCCGGGACCCATTGATTGACAGCTCAGGCGGCGAATAGCGGCATATATACATGATTTTGCGCACCCTTGCCACCCTGTAGCAGTATTTCTTCTATAGGGCGTCGGGAAAGCCTTTAAAAAGCCAAGATGTGAGAAATTAACTGTTATTTGCCATTTTAACCTGTGTGTGTCACCTTGTGTGTCTGTGCCAAGGCCAAACATTCCAGGGGAGGGAAAGTTCTGATCTGGGCCATTTGGGTGATTTCTGTTATCATTATGATTTAAAAAGGAGCCAAACAACTATGTGATAATAAATGGCTTCATATGATCATCATTCTTCAATAAAAGAGCATTTTTTTGGCATGATCAGTCATATTTTCAATATTAATGCCAACATTTCACAATTTTTTGATGATGCAAACTTTTGAGCACAACTGTACTACAGCCAAAACTTGGAATAGGTAGTCTCTGACCAGGGTTGCTTCATGCATGCATCTGAATTGATCATCATCTGTCAAGCTGTAATAAAAGGGAAGACTCCTTGGTGAAAGCCATCTATAGCTAAGTATCTTGTTACATTTTTTCCAATATTATTACAAGGAGTAAAGTAATCTATAGCGTTTGTATGGAGTATACGGCAAAGGTCAGGGGTGTATTTAGGTTTTGTGCTGCCCTAGGCAACACAAAAATTGGACATCCCACCCGAGAGAGCCTTCCACTAATAACCCCCCTGGCAACTCTGGCCATCCCCAGGAACAACACCTGGGCTCTGCGTACACCATCAAGCAGCCCTGTCATGTTCTACATGACTGTCATATGCCTTTAAGTGTTCTCTGTAATTTGTCTCTGCTCCTCCCTTTCCTCTGGTTTAGTTCATGCTGTATAGATAGTCCCACCCTTCTTCCCAGAAATGCATTGCAGCTTCTAGCCTCATGTCATGAAGCAGGTCACATTATGATCTTTTGACCTATCAGATGTTCATTGTTGTAAGATTCTCTCAGTTTATGGAATAAACTTCACAAGATCTACAAGATGTCTTCTGGATTGAGTCACTGCCTGTGTGTCAGGAATGGACTCACCACTGGTGGTGGAACTCACCTGCCGTGTGGGCTGCAGTACCAGGGCTGGTCAGCGGGTGCTCTCAGCAGCCAGAAGCTCACTCCTGCAATCAAGTCATCACCTGAGGCTGATTGCAGGAGGTGTATTTAAGGAGTGGCCAGGCCTGCAGTCAGTGCCTTGGTGTATGTTTCCCATGAGCCCCTGTACCTGCATCCTGTCTGCTTCCTGCCTGATCCTGATTCTGCTTTGATCCTGACTCTGAACGACCTCCGCCTGTCCTGACCACGGCTATTCCTGACAACTCTTCCACTCGCTCCTGGTACCCTGTTTGCCCGTTTGCTACCGACCCGGCCTGCCCCCGACTACGTTTGATTTGTATATATGGTTATCTGTTGGAGATTGGGTTGTTTGCACTGTTATGTTTACCTTGCACTGCGTTTGTGTTGTTTAGTCTTTAATAAATTGTCTTGTTTACTCTATACCTGAAGCCTGCGTTTCCCTGTGTCAGTCCACACAACTCTGGTCATACCCAGAGCCCTGACACTGTGATATTCAATTAAGATTGGAGTTATTGCTACCTCATCACAACTGTAAGCTACAGAGATCACACTATCAATGCTTAGATTGGAGAGACAGAACAAGCCCACAGCCTCTCAACGGTCCTCATGCCGCTTATGTCCCTTCTTCTGGGCGGCACTGCTGCCCCCCTAAAAAATGCCACCCTAGGCAATTGCCTTGTTTGCCTTGTGGTTAAAAGACCCTGGCTAAGGTCTTGAAACGATGATGTTTGCCTGCTGCTAGAATACAAATGAATAGTGAAGTGAGTGTCCGTTAATGATTTCTCAGCAAGTAGCAATGAATTTCAATGTTTATTGAAATACTACTTCTACAATAGCAAAACATCTCTTCTAAGAGTGCCCAGTACTTTAATGAGGGAGACTGGATGGCACCAAACGCCATAAATCTCTAGGGTGCGGAGACCGCAGAGCTATCATTGTGAATGAAAGATCTTTCCTATGTCTTGGTGAAATGAGTTCAGTTTCATCTCTGGGCAAATAAACCATTTCAGTCCATTTTAATTCAGGAAATATCCTACACACGCTACTCTGACTCATAGCCGTAATTAAACACATGGATTAATCTGCAGAATTTGCATCTGACTTCCAAGTTTCGCTTGTTTTTTCATGGCAGCACTGGAAAAATCCATCTGTTATTTTGCTCAATGACAATGTGACGCTCCTCTCCCTTTTAATTCTGTATAATTAGACAGAACCAGAGCCAGCTATGCCCACACAGCTGTTTTAGGAACCCTCAAGATCAGCAAATGTAGAACAGAAGGAGTTTGGAGGACACCAAGAAAGTTCTTAGCGAGATGACAGTGCCTTAACCACTTGTCCTCCAGAGGATTCCCCCCCCCCCCATCCTGACCAGGCCATTTTTTGCATAACGGTGCTATGTTACTTTAACTGACAACTGCGCGGTCATGCAACGCTGCACCCAAATGAAATTTACGTCCTTTTTCTCCCCATGAATAGAGCTTTCTTTCAGTGGTATTTGATCACCTGTGCGTTTTTTTTTTTTTTTTTGCGCAAAAGACCAACAATTTTGAGGAAAAAAAAAACAATATTTGTGACTTTGCTATTAAACATGTGCAGTAACAAAATTAAAAAAATCTAATTTCGTCATAAATTTAGACCAAAATGTATTCTGCTACATGTATTTTTTAAAAAAAAAAATCCCAATACATGTAAATTAATTGGTTTAAATTGATAGCGTTTATAAATGACGATATATATATACATACATACTGGGATTTTTTCATTTTTTTTTCATTTTTACTAGTAATGGCGGCGATCAGTGACTGCGGGACTGTGGCGGGCATTCTGACACTGGGAGGGGGGGGACTGACTTGGTGTCACTGACATCCCCAGCGACACCAATACAGTGATCAATGCTAATAAAAAGCACTGACACTGTACTAATGGCACTGGGCAGCAAGGGGTTAACACGTGGGGCAAAGGGTTACCTGTGTGCGTTTTACTATGGTGTGGTGTGTTTGTGCTTCACTGTAAGTACACTGCTTTGCATGGCTGTGCTATGATAAGCCATACAAAGCAGTGTGCAGGAGCTGACAGGGGAGAGAACTGTTTTGTTTACAAACAGTTCTCCTCCTCGTTGGAAATGCTCGGCAATCATTGGGCACCGGTGAGTAATCACCAGCCGGGACCCAGTGATTGATAGCCAGGGGCAGCGCAGGTAGGGCGCACGCGCCCCCCCACCCGGAAATGCAAAGTCACGTATATATACGTGTCTATCTCAAACTCTCGTCAAACACTCCTAGGGTATTTCAGGAGCTTGCCTTTAATGCACATTAAACACAACACAAATTCAGTGAACAACTCGCATTAACTGTATAGGCGTGTTTGCCAAGCATCAGTATTTTGAGAAAGTATGAACAAGGCCTTACACACACATCTGTCAGTCAGTACAGCCAACTACTTTTTTATTTTGGGAAATATTTATTTCCTGAAGGCTTCAAAAAAAACAGATTTATACTTACCTGCTCTGTGCAATTAAAGGCTAACCTGTAGGTAAAATATGCAAAAAGGAGTTTACTTACACTTTAAAGGTGCAAGCTTTCGGGATAATTCAACTCTCCTCTTCTGGCTATATACATTTCCTGCCAAAGGGATCCAAGTTATCTCAAAGCCTGCCTCTTTAGTAACTTAAATTGGTAATCCGGCTACTACACCTAATTAATCTTAAAAATAAAAATACCCCCCCCCCCCCCCCGCCCAACACACACACACACTAAACCTGTGCTAACCAGGGCCAGATCTAGCCTATCTGATCTGGGGATGCAGTAAAAGAAAGTCAGGGGGCATAATGCCAAGACTGTGTGTGAGTCACTGACAGTCTGTCACACGGTGTCATGACCTGAGAAACACTATTATGAATTAGATTGTCATTATATTAGTGTGATTAAACAAAACCTGTGCCCTCTTATATCAGATATTCTGTCAGAGTCCCCCCCTCAGAGTTCTTCTTTACATCATGCTTACTAATCAGAGTTCCCCTTTACATCAGAGTGCCTCCTTACATCAGTGTCCCCATCAGAGCACCCCCGTATATCAGGTGTCCCCATCAGAGTGCCCCCGTATATCAGGTGTCACCATCAGAGTGCCCCCTTACATCAGGTGTCACCATCAGAGTGCCCCTGTATACCAGGTGTCACCATAAGAGTTCCCCCTTACATCAGGTGCCACCATCAGAGTGCCACTGTATATCAGGTGTCACCATCAGAGTGCCCCCTTACATCAAGTGTCTCAATCAGAGTGCCCCCTTACATCAAGTGACGCCATCAGAGTGCCTCCTTACATCAAGTGACTCCATCAGAGTGCCCCCGTACATCAGGTGCCTCCATCAGAGTGCCCCCGTACATCAGGTGTCTCCATTAGAGTGCCCCCTTACATCAAATGTCCCCATCAGAGTGTCCCCATATATAAAGTGTCACCATCAGAGTGTCCCCGTACATCAGGTGTCTCCATCAGAGTGCCCCTGTACATCAGGTGTCACCATCAGAGTGCCCCCTTACATCAAGTGTCTCCATCAGAGTGCCCCCTTACATCAAGTGTCTCCATCAGAGTGCCCCCTTACATCAAGTGTCTCCATCAGAGTGCCCCCTTACATCAAGTGTCTCCATCAGAGTGCCCCCTTACATCAAGTGTTACCATCAAAGTGTCTCCATATATCAAGTGTCTCCATCAGAGTGTCCCCATATACATCAGGTGTCTCCATCAGAGTGCCCCTGTACATCAGGTGTCACCATCAGAGTACCCCCTTACATCAAGTGTCTCCATCAGAGTGCCCCCTTACATCAAGTGTTACCATCAGAGTGTCCCCGTATATCAAGTGTCTCCATCAGAGTGCCCCCTTACATCAGGTGTCTCCATCAGAGTGCCCCCTTACATCAAGTGTCTCCATCAGAGTGCCCCCTTACATCAAGTGTTACCATCAGAGTGTCCCTGTATATCAGGTGTCTCCATCATAGTGCCCCTGTACATCAGGTGTCACCATCAGAGTGCCCCTGTACATCAGGTGTCACCATCAGAGTGCCCCCTTACATCAAGTGTCTCCATCAGAGTACCCCCTTACATCAAGTGTCTCCATCAGAGTGTCCCCTTACATCAAATGTTACCATCAGAGTGTCCCCGTATATCAAGTGTCTCCATCAGAGTGCCCCTGTACATCAGATGCTATCATCAGAGTGTCCTTTGACATCAGATGTCCCCATCAGAGTTCCCCCTTACATCAGATGTCCCCATCAGAGTGCCCCCTTACATGGATTGCCTCTACCAGAGTGCCCCTTACATCAATTGTTTGCATCAGGGGAGGGGGGGCATTTTTAAGATTAGTTAGGTTTAGCCTGGAATTTTCCCTTAAGTTAACCAATAAAGGGTCTCACTGAAACATGAAACTTTCTTCATTTATTAATGATTACCATGGCACAACACGCCTGCATGCATACAATTTAAAAAAGACAACTTCTACGTTAATACTTAATCTGGCAGCTTCCAGGTTTAAACCATGGCCAGAAAATGACAGCAGATGCACCAACAAATAATGAGTGATGTGGGGGGGGGGGGCGGAACATGATTGTCACTTAACTATTTTTCTTTTCATATTTTCTTCATGGAGTGAGGCCCGCTTTAAGATTACAGTCGCCCAATCAATGTTTTCTTTCTCCTGTACATTAATGTATTCTCTACCCGGGAACAAGATCTTGGCATGGAAGGAATATATTTCCTCGAGGATCACATCTAATAAAGATGTTTTTTTTCCTTCTTCTTTCAGGCAAAATAATGTAGAAAGTTTATCTCTCCAGGCACCCCAGAAAATCAATTTCAAGCTACGTCATTCCTGAAAATAAATAAACGTCTGAAAGGAGAACAGGAATATGAGAAATATAAATGTATATAGTTCTTTTTTGTCGGTTTCCTAGCTTATTTCAATATGCAATCTCTTTTATGTATATATATAATTTTACTGCTTGTACCTCTTTGTAGTTATGCCATTCCTGGAAATACATAAACATGTCATAAAAGAAAAATAGATAAAATGAAATATTTGTCACTCCAGCCTTATTTCAATATTTCTTTCTATTATGTTTTAAATATTTGTGCTGCTTGCGCTATCATATCTCACCTAAACATGCAACTGGGAGAATTCATCCATCCTATTTCCATATCTTTCTTCTTTCTGAATGTGAATTTAAATGTTACAGTCACCAGTCTAGGAGCTACGGACGTTTGTGCTGTCTTTACCTGGGCAAATGTAGACATCTAAGTTCTCGCTAGATAAGATATAACACAGAGCACCCAGGAAATCTCAATTAGACACATTTATTGAGTGAAAGCAGGCCTTGCAGCCTCTGCATAAAAATTTACATGTTATTAAACTTAAAAAAAAAATAAACCGCTTGAGTTGCCAAAGTCTACTGGAAGTTGATTTAAAGCTCCAGAAAATGTTCCCATCATAGGTGTATGCACAGAGTGTACCGGAGGTGCCTGGGCGCGCCCTAATCACCTTGTCCGCATTACAGTTATCACTGTGTGTAGGTGGAGAGATGGGAAATATGTGGAAGCACTTCTCTTTCACTTTGAATCTGCAGGCAGGGAGATAATATGCCGGCGGGGTGGTGCACTGCAAAGACGATATATATACAGTTGTGTTCAAAATATTAGCAGTCAGACACCACTAACCAGATCAATCACTGTTTTTGGTAGAAATGATATTTCTACATGGCAAATAATTTCCTAGCAGGTGTAGTAGAGTAATAGAAATCCAACAGACCCAACAGTCATGACATGCATGCTGCTGATTCTGTGTCATTGAATCACTCATTGAAAGGGGCATGTTCAAAATAATAGCAGTGTGGAGTTCTATTGGTGAGGTCATTCATTCTTTGAAAAACAGGTGGCAATTATTGCCCTTATTTAAGGAAGGAAGGCAGCAAATGTTGTACATGCTGGTTACAGTGCATTTCTCTCTGAAATTCTGAGGAAAATGGGTCGTTCCAGACATTGTTCAGAAGAACAGCGTACCTTTATTAAAAAGTTGATTGGAGAGGGAAAAACATATAAAGAAGTGCAGAAAATGATAGGCTGCTCAGCTAAAATGATCGCAAATGCTTTAAAATGGCAACCAAAACCTGAAAGACGTGAAAGAAAGCGAAAAACTACCATTGGAATGGATAGAAGAATAGCCAAAATGGCGCGGACTCGGCCAACAATCAGCTCCAGGAAGATGAAAGAAGGTGTAAAGTTCCCTGTGAGTACTGTTACAATTAGAAGACGCCTATGTGAAGCCAAGCTATCTGCAAGAAGCCCCCGCAAAGTCCCACTGTTGGAAAAAAGACATGTGCTGAAGAGGTTACAATTTGCCAAAGAGCACATTGACTGGCCTAAAGAGAAATGGTGCAACATTTTGTGGACTGATGAAAGTAAGATTGTTCTTTTTGGGTCTAGTGGCCGGAGACAGTTTGTCAGACGACCCCCAAACACTGAATTCAAGCCACAGTACACTGTGAAGACAGTGAAGCATGGTGGTGCAAGCATCATGATATGGGGATGTTTCTCATACTACGGTGTTGGGCCTATTTATCGCATACCAGGGATCATGGATCAGTTTGAATCCATCAGAATACTTGAAGAGGTCATGCTGCCTTATGCTGAAGAGGAAATGCCCTTGAAATGGATGTTCCAACAAGACAACGACCCCAAACACACCAGTATATGTGCAACATCTTGGTTCCAGACCAACAAGATTGACGTTATGGAGTGGCCAGCCCAATCCCAGGATCTTAATCCAATAGAAAACTTGTGGGGTGACATCAAAAATGCTGTTTCTGAGGCAAAACCAAGAAATAGAAAAGAACTGTGGAATGTAGTCCAATCATCCTTGCCTGGAATACCTGATCACAGGGGCCAGAAGTTGGGTGACTCCATGCAACACAGATGTACAGCAGTTCTCAGAAACAGTGCGACTACAACCAAATATTCATGAAGTCATTCAAAGGAAAGCAAAATCTTCAAACATTTTTCAGTTTATATAGTGAATGTTTGAGTTTGTAAAGAAGAATACAAACACTGTGATTTTTTTAAACCGTCTAATATTCACTTTTCATCAATTTTTTTGGAGGAACAACACAAATTTTTGATATATTTTTCTTCATGTTTTGATTTGGAATAGAATGTGTCGTGTTCCCAATGCATTTGTGTGTATGGAAATAAAAGC